GTGGATTCTTTTTTTTAGAGAAAAGGCCAAAGCCCGACTTTATAAATAAAGCCACATGGCAGCGTCACGAATACCCAAGGTTCACACAGTCTCAGAAACACAAAGAGAAGTTAAATAGGCCCAAATTCCTAACGAAACAGGCAGCTGCCAAACACGGCACGCAGGCCGGGGAGAGAAGGAGACCTAATCCCGCAAACTACAGCATCAAGCTTATACGCCATGATTCGTCCCGGAGATCTGAGAGGCTGAAGCCCGAATTTTGGCGATGAGCAGGTCCAGGGCGTCCCGATCTGGCTCCTTAGTCAATAATCTCCACTGCTGCAAGAATATACATGATTTGAAAAGAACGTCAGCAGGCTTAGATGGGAAGGTAAGCTCAATAGTAAATTTGTTTCTAATGGTCCAAAGAGCCCAACATAAGGCTCCCAAGCCAACCCAGAATACCCTCTTGGTGACCCCTACCAGAGATTTGGCCAGGGTTCTAGTGTGTGCGAAAGAGGAGGGATCCCAGGAGACCCGAAGCCATGATCTTACGCAAGACCAAACTAATTTGGCAAGAACACAGTTGAAAAAGATGTGATTAGAGTTTTCCAAAGCCCCACACAAGTTACAGAATTCCGAGCCCGGCCCATTGCGTTTTTTGATCTGATCAGCAGAAGGAAGGCGACCTCGGAAGGCTTGCCAGAGGAAAATCTTAATCTTAGGAGGGACCTTAGATTTCCAAATACAAGAGAAGCGAGCCGAAGTAGTACCACCAATGAGTCTAGAATACAACGATTTGACCGAGAATAGCCCAGAGGCCGTAAGTGGCCAAACCACAGAGTCAGCCTCCTCCGAGAGCACGGGGAAGAGGGCAGAAAGACGTTGCCATTCTTCCAACTCTTCAGGAGACAGGGCCCGACGAAAAGCCAAGTCCCAATTATTAGCAGCCACCTCCGCGATGGAGATTTGCGGATTGGGGCAATAAGAGAACAGAACCAGAAAGCTAACAGCCAGGGGAGCATCCCCGGACCACCAATCTAACCAAAAACGAACAGCAGACCCATTACCCACACAAAACTTAACGTGCTCCAAAAAAAATCGACCGAACTTTAACAAGGGCTTTCCAAAACTGCGAACCACGCCGCGCAGGGGCAAACATAGGGTTGGAGTTAGGAAAATATTTAGCCTTAAGAATCGAAAACCACAGCACATCGGCCCCAACCGTCATAATTTTCCACCACCACTTAATGAGCAGACAAATATTCATCACCCGAGTATTAATAATGCCTAACCCCCCAAGGTTTTTAGGCTTGCACATAAGCTGCCACTTAACCAACCTATACTTCCTTTTGTTATTTGCAGAATTCCAATAAAAGCCACCCCTATGTTTGTCGAAGCCAGCATGCACACCATCCGTGAGACGGTAAAAGCCCATAAGGAACAACGGGAGAGAGGATAAGCAAGAATTGATTAGAGCCACTTTGCCAGCATTGGTATTATACCTACCCCTCCAAGGAAGCACCCTATTCCCCACTTTAGCAACCACCGGAGCGAAGTCTTTCGCGTGAAGCAGACCAGGAGAGATAGGAAGACCTAAATATTTGAAAGGAAAGGAACCTAAGGAGCAGTTGAGGAGTCTGGCCACCCGCAAGGCCTCCGCCCGGTCAACCCCCGTCACCATAACCTCACTCTTGGCGAAATTGATCTTAAGACCAGAAACAGCTTCGAAGCACAACATAATAAATTTCAGATTGGCAATACAGGCATTGTCCAACTCTACCAAGATGATTGTGTCATCCGCATATTGCAAATGAGAGACCCCTTCCGGAAGTAGGTGAGAGACCAACTTACAATAGCATATAAACCAGTGGATTCAACTTGCCATGTTTGCATAGAACATAATAGCAATTAAACTAGTGCATCCAACTTACAATAGCATACAAATCGAAATGCAGCTAACTAGATCTAGGGTTCATACCCAACTATCAGGCCGGGAGTTCGATTACAACATCACCCCTAAAAACAGTGAGAATCATGGCCTATGAGACCATCAAAACTAACAGAAAATAGTAGAAATCGCTGCATCATAGGGACATATAATCCGTGAAAACAGAGCGATAGGTGCGGAACAGGCGAGCCTCGCCGGCTTGACTACCACCGCGATGGCAACGGAACTACGTAATGCCGACCTAATGGCATGCATATGACTCCCCCGCCGATGGGAACACACGAGCGCCGTGAAAAATCCGCCTGAATCTCGAAAGGATCCGAGCAGGATGTCAACCGAGAGGAGGGGAGGCAGATTGGACCAGTAGAAAGCTTCGAAGCCTTACCTCCGCGCGGTGGCTGCTCCGGCGACGACGCTCCGGTTCCGTGAACACCAGCGATGGCCACGAAGACCCGTGACTCTTCCGCCGCCGCCCCCTCTTGACTGCTCCTCCTAGAACTTGCGTCGCTTTCGAATGGGAATGTTGGTGTGGTTGAAATGGGAAATAAAGAAGGGCAGGGTAGGGGGACTGCAACACCGGGAGGGGAAAAGAGCAGACGTGAGAGTTGATGAATAGGAGACGTGCACGGCGTGCGGGCGCGAAGGCAGTTCCACCACACGTCTGACTCGCAACCACGACCTCTCTGTGTGAGAAACCGGCATCCGGGCGAACTGTCAAAAGCCCACACACCAGCCTTGTCCTACGTGACATGCAAAATCTGCCTTAATGCGTCAAGATTCATGCAAACTCGACTGGACTGTGATCCACGCGTGTGGGTGAGTTGCAAAACACCCACACATGTGAGTATTATCATTTGGGTTTTTAAGGATTTTTTTGTCCGCTAGCATTATGCGTTCGTTAGAGCATCTCCATCCGCGCCCCCAACAAGGCCCCCAGGCGACTTTTTGACCGCTGGCGCCGAAAAATCGGCCCAGTCGCGTCCCCAAGGGATGATTTTTCACTGGCTTGGGCCGAAATTGGCGACGGCGGACCCAACCCGAACCCGGCATGCTGGGGGGCGCTCGGGGGCGCCGGGCGAATCGTTTTTGGCGCGAAACAGCCGCGGCCCCTCCTTGCCAGCGACTCGTCTCTCTTCTCGCCGCTTCGTCGTCCTCAACGCCTTATTTCACGCGGCGAATCAATGCCAAAGCTGCCTCGCGCTGCCGCGCCGGTCAGCCTCCTTCATTGATGCCTCACAGGCGGCGCAGGCACCGGACGACGCACGTCACCTCGCCCGCCACGCGTACGTGCGCCGGCCACGCGTACGCGCGGCGCCTCCGCCTATATAAGCCGCCCCCCAGCACGCCGGTGACACGCACATAGTCTGCACCGTCGTAGCACTATTTCTCCCCCTTTCCTCCCTCTCCTCTCGTCATCTCTAGTTCAAAGCATGGCCAAGCGCTTCCCAGGTGACGGTGCGGCGGCGAACGGCTTCGGCCGCCGCCACCTTCATGAGGACGAAGATCGGCTCCTCTTCGAGGCCGAGTACTCGGTTCTGCCAGACATGCGGGTGCCGGGGGCGTGGAGGATCAGTGCCGGCGGGGTCCCGATGCCACCACCGCCCACCGGGTGGCGCGGTGTGCGGAGATAGCGCGTATCCGCACCTCTCTACCGCGGGCGGCGAGGGAAGGTCCACGGTATGTCCCCGACAGCCCGCTTTGGGAGCCCTACTTCCGCCGCCGCCACGCCGAGCAGCTCGAGGCCACAAACGGCGTCGTGCCTTTCGGAAGGCTCAACTCCGAATGCCGACGCCGATGGTAGGGCATGCCCGGCCGCACGCTGGAGGCCGTCCTCGAGTACATCGAGGGCGGCAACACGTCGAGGCTTGAGTACCCCGCTCCCCCGTCCATCTCTCGCCGGCGTGGGAGCTCGTGGACGCCGAGGCGCATGGACCTGGGGGCGTCCTCCTCGTCCGGCCGCTCGTCCGACTCTCCCTGCCTTCACCCCGTCAAGCCGGAGCCCCAGGACACGCCTGTCAGCGTGCGCACCTGCAGCTCCGGCGTCCGCATCGACGACTCCGCCCCCGCGTCTGGCTGCCTCGTCCTCGTCAGGCCGAAGCTGGAGCCCGGCCTCCCCGCAGAGTACGAGGAGATAGCCCGACAGCTTCTCCGACGAGGATGCCCTACGGTGCGCGCGGTACGACTACCTCCGCGACGAGATGGTCCGGCAGCGCCGGGCCCTGGAGGAGATAGCCGCCCGCAAACGTGGGCGCGAGGACGAGGGCGGCGTCGTGATCCTCGACAGCGACGACGACGAGGACGCCCCCGGACCGTCCAACCCGCCGCGCCAACCGGGGGAGGGTTGCAGCAGGGACGGCGGCCGCGGAGGAGGGGACGACGACTACACGCGGTTCTACCGCCTCCTCGGCATGTAAAACTGTAAAGGCGACAGGCGGCGAGGAGCGGCGAGGGAGACGGCAAGGAGCAGCCTAGTAGCGTTTTTTTTTTCTTTTTTGTAAAATATTTTAAATACGTACGAACTCGCCGAAGTTTGGTTGAATGTGCGCTGTGTTTGTGCTGGAATTAAAATTTAAAAAAAAACGTGGGCGCCGCGACTGGGAGGCATCACGCCCCCAGTACACGGTTTGCGCCGGTGCGCTCTTAAGGGACGATTTTTAGCGCATCTAGGGGCCAATGGTTGGAGATGCTTTTAGATGGCGCTGAAGGCGGGGAGTAAGAGCTCCGTGCGGTTTTGTATCTCCCCGGTCGTGCGTTTTTTCATGGGCTGGTTACAGTTAAGATACCTTCTAGGGCTTTCTGAGCCCAACAGAAGCGTTGTCCCCGGCCCTTCTGCAAAGAGCTATATAACTTACACGTTCTCCCAGCCGTCAAAAACACCTGCCCTACTCGCGAAAACCCTACCGCCGCCGCTCTCCAAGGTCCCAAGGTGGCGGCGCTGTGTCCTCACCGTACTTCTTCTTTTCTTTCTTGCATCTAACCTCGCTAATCGCTGCTATCTTTTCGCTTTGTTGCTCCAGGCTCCAGATCTCCCTCCTTCGCAGCTGCCTCGGTGGCCTTTGGAGCGCACGAGATGGCGTAAGTTCTCCCGCAGAAAGAAACCTTGGCACTGCTCGTTTCTGTAGTCTTGATTGCAGTGGTGTGCTGCAGATATTAAATCCGATACGTGTTGTTATCTTGTTTGTAACTTGCGAGTGCTTTTGGGCTACTTATGAAATCTCAGTGTTGGTTTGTGCTCTTAACATCCAGGGGCGCAATTGTTTATTTTGTCGTTGGTTGGTCTTCTCCAATTAACACTGATACACATGTGTTATTTGTTGGGCGTTTCGGCATTGTCTTAGAATGATTTTAATCTGCAAGTAGTTGTGAAGCAGATTGTTTAGTACTAGTTGCGTTCATGATTATTACATATTACAGTATAAGATACTAGCTGAAATTTCAAAAATAATGATAGCTGTTTTACTCTGCTTGCAAATTACAGCTGCTTTCAATAGTTTGTCCCTCCTTTTGATTTTACACTTTTGAACGATCTCTATTGTGATCTACCTACGGTGCAAGATAGTTGTTTAATCTCGTATCCCCCGCAAAAAAAAATCTCGTATGGCATGTAGATTAATGTAACATGCCGGTACCTGATTGCCCAAACTAAAGAGTAGCTATGAACATATAGAAAACTAACAGCTTGAATTGCGGTAAACACAGATTTAAACTGCTGGTTAGAGTGTGTAACCTCTGTTCTTTATGCTTGCTGTCCTCGTATCATGCTATTCATGCCATGAGTTATCACTCTTTGCAGGGAAGAAGCCCCGACACCAGTTGTTGCCCCAGTAGAGGCACCTACCCTGGTTCTTGGTGAGCCAATGGACTTGATGACTGCTCTACAGCTTGTCATGAAGAAGTCAAGTGCTCATGATGGCCTTGTGAAGGGGCTCCGTGAGGCTGCCAAGTCCATTGAGAAGCATGCTGCTCAGCTTTGTGTGCTGGCTGAGGATTGTGACCAGCCTGATTACGTGAAGCTCGTTAAGGCACTATGCGCTGAGCACAATGTTCACCTGGTTACTGTGCCAAGTGCTAAAACTCTTGGAGAGTGGGCAGGGGTGAGTTTTCTAATGCCAATTTGTAATGTTCCATCTTATTATACTTAATTGCAGCATGTATTCCACATTCATCTTTGGACTTAGCAATGCTTCACTATTGCTGGAGAATGCACTTGCTCTTGATATTAAAATTCTTTTGTTTCCCTATGCTTGTCTTGTAAGTTGTTTTAGCTTTTCGTTGTTTCTTCACGTTTGTCGTGGAAGTATTGATGTGTTGATATTAACATGCTTTTCTCTGCAGCTTTGCAAGATTGACTCTGAGGGCAAGGCAAGGAAGGTTGTGGGCTGCTCTTGCGTTGTTGTCAAGGTGACAAATCTACTATAAACTGATACGACCAAAGGACGGGTTTCTTTTCAAGTAGGCAGAACTTGACGTTTGACTGATTTCTTTGATTTACCAGGACTACGGTGAAGAATCCGAGGGCCTTAACATCGTGCAGGAGTATGTCAAGTCTCACTAGATGAGAATGTTTCATGATGCACTTGTGTTGGGCATTTTGGTCCTCGGTTTCATTTATGCTTTATTCTTGGGCTTCCTATTGTTCCAAGTTTCAAGTGTGAGCCTAGCAGATATCGTCGATTTGGACCTTTGAACCTTTGTTTATCTGGCAGCTGCTGCCTTCAGCGTAAATCATCAAGAGCTGATAATATATTTCTCTTTGCAATATCACAATTTTGATGTTTTGCTCTGTTGCTGTTGCCTGTTCCATTTGACATCATTGTGTTTGTGCCTATTACTCCCTCCGTCCCAAAATTGTCTTAGATTAGTCTAGATACCGATGTATCTAATACTAAAACGTGACTTGTACATTCGTATTTAGACAAATCTAAGACGAATTTTGGGACAGAGGGAGTACTTATATTTGGTCATGGTGGTGATGGTATAATTTAGCAAAAGAAATAGCGCTTCAAATTGTTTGAGCCGATCCCACAGATTCAGTGTCCATTTAAGATGCTTGCTCATTTAGATGCCTGTGAAGTTCTGAGTTTGAAGGAGCTCTGTAGGAAAAACAAAAAATGGGCTCCAAATTGTTTGAAATTCTGACAAAATTTTGTTTGTTAACCTTTATTGAATTCTTTTTAGCTGCTATTTTCTTGATTTTCACGAGAAGGAGCATATGTGCTATGAATTTGTACACGAGAATCCTTATATCTGCTGTAAATTTGTACAAACTATAAAGTGCTTGCATAATAAAATGTTGTAAAAACACAAAAGCAAGAACTATGGATAAATTTGTACAAACTATAAAAATCTAAAAAAAAATTACACGGGTACGTCTTCATGTTCTATGTGCTTGCATAAAGTTTAACGGAAAATTAACTTTTATTGTGGCCTGCGTAAAAAAGACAAAAAATTATGTCGTGAAACACTATTTAAAAGCACTGAAATTTGTCTTTTTTGTGGAGGCAAAACAAAGACATTTTTTCATAGAACTTTGTGCCACGTACACATATTTGCGAATATGTATGCATGATGTTTTCTTTTGATTTTTTTGACATTTTAAAACATGCTTAAAATACATTTTTTAAAAAGTGGGTGCATATGCCCATGGGTTTAGATGATGCCCTCTCGGAAGGAGAAGTGGCTAAGTGAGATCTTTTATTGCCTTTCGGCCAGTGCAGAAATCTGGCCCATCGAGGAAGAGATGGCATCTGCAATGTAGAGTTGTAAGATAGAGTTGGGCCGACAACAAACTTTTCAAATGAGGTAGATTCTTTAAGACACTATGGTGTCAGAAATTCCGAAGTACGAATAATATATACAATCAATGAATTCTCTTATGCAACTGGTTTCGAGAATGACGGTTGGATAATGATAATGTTCTCTGTTCTTCATCAGGAAAATTCTTTCGTGTTCATTATATATAATCAATGGATTTGAACATCCTATGTCAACCTCTTTCTTCACCCCAAAAGCCTAGCGGTGTTTTATTCAACTAGCAAATGGTCTGTGCGTCGCAACTGAAGATCATAATAGGTCCACATCTTTTATTTTAATAACATGGCATTTGCAAAAGAACCCGTGTGTTACTATAGGAGAAAATAATACCACACGCCTCTAACCCAATAACCATGACTCACGACCCCAATAGAATCACGTGCATCTCATCTGTGTTGCCGCTTATCCTACTTCCAGCCCTCGTCGATGTTGTCTCAGTTCTCACACAACTACAACACGTTTGAATCTGGTCAATCCTAATGTGTGTGTCTCTCTCTCCTTTTGCATAAGATGAGAAATCTGCTTTCTTTTTTTCCTGCGAGGTTTTGTCGAGACTTGCATGTGAGGTTATAGATTATTTATTTTGTCTCTAATGTGGCTTTGCTGAGGTGTTAATTTCCAATCCGGATCTACATCTGTATGAAAAATGTTGCATCCTAAATAGCATTTAAAATAATGTTTAATAGGTAAAACAACATCATATGTAGATTCTACACATTTTCCTAATGAACATATCTAAATTGGAGTTAGGGTTTAAAAGTTATGGATTTTTTTGAAAAGCATTTGAATCTACCCCACCCCCAAGAAATAATGTTATTTTCTAGACAAATTGATGGTTTATTAAACAAAATATCAGTGGGTTTATGCAAAAAGCGAAAGGTTTTCTTGATTCACTTAAAGCACGGCCGTGGGTTGATTAACTAAAAGATAGGGGGGTTTCTGCAAAAAATGAAACTTTTCTCTTATTCACTTAAAATAGTACCTCGGGTTGATTTCAGGAAATGGTTAGGAGTTTTCTACAAAATTGCGAACGAACGGACATAAATACTAATCCGTTTATTAGTAGGTATAGATGTGTTTCTTCAAGTATCGAGATCTAAAGATCTCGACTGTAACAAGTCCAAATTAGTAGTAATAATTAGGAATTTATTATGCATTATAATCATCTCATAAGAACCATTTATTTAATGTAAAGATGAGGATAATTCAAATCCCCGTAAAAATGTTCAAAAATGCATCGACAAGATTAATGCACTAATAAACGGCCGCACTCCAAGTGCCACGTGCCCCCGGCACTATTCTCGACGACTATTCATAGGAGGAGGTCACGCTCCCACGAGCCGATTAAGACTATTTGAGAACACCGTCGTGTCACTTTGTCTAGTGTACGACGACTTTCAACATAATGCAGTTGTGCCAGTACTTGTCTTTAAGCATTTTAGGGGTTACCTTCCATTCCAATCCTGTTCCTATATGAACTTTACATCTTTACCTAAAATACACTTTGAAGTATCATTAGTTGTTTGGGATATGTTGACATGAATTGCGAAAATCCACCTTGGGTATTAGATGCACTTTCGTACGTTGAGATAAATCAAGTTTGTAAGGAGTCAGAGTCAATCCCGTCACGCGCAGTTTCAGATTCCTGAAAGTGGCAGTGATAGGTGGAAACCCGTGAACGAGTTCACGCCCGAGGGTGGACCGATCTTCACGTCGTAGGATCGAATCAGGAGGGATAACTAGCTGCAAGCAGCCGGGATAACTAGGTTTATACCTGACAAGATTGGATGCAACCCGCACGTTGGGGATGGCTGACCGAAGTTACAATAACTCCAATCCGCTGTCCGAACAATCGTAGAACCACAAACCGGGACTAACCAACACAAAACGGCCGGAACCGTATAGTACGAATTAAGGGGAACCAGAGGCTCCTTCTCGTGAATCCGGATGAACTCACAAGAGCAAATGTAGAAAGGATCTCTCAGACCTCTCTAGTAGTCTTGCTACATAAGCATTTAGCTGAATGGTTTGACAAAAGGTTTCTAAGAGGATGGGGGAGATGGGGTTTTTGTTGGGGAACATAGTAATTTCAAAATTTTCCTACGCACACGCAAGATCATGGTGATGCATAGCAACGAGGGGAGAGTATGATCTACGTACCCTTGTAGATCGCAACGGAAGCGTTGACACAACGTAGAGGAAGTAGTCGTACGTCTTCTTCCCGATCCAACCGATCCAAGCACCGTTACTCCGGCACCTCCGAGTTCTTAGCACACGTACAACTCGATGACGACCCCCGGGCTCCGATCCAGCAAAGCTTCGGGGAGGAGTTCTGTCAGCACGACGGCGTGGTGACGATCTTGATGTATTACCGACGCAGGGCTTCGCCTAAGCACTACAACGATATGATCGAGGTGGAATATGGTGGCAGGGGGCACCGCACACGGCTAAGGAACGATCTCAATGATCAACTTGTGTGTCTAGAGGTGCCCCATGCCTCCGTATATAAAGGAGCCAAGGGGGATAGGTGCGCCGGCCAGGAGGAGGGCGCAGGAGGAGTCCTACTCCTACCGGGAGTAGGACTCCCCCCCCCCCCAATCCTATTCCAACTAGGATTCCCAAGGGGGAAAGAGGGAGAGGGGTGGCCGGCCACCTCTCCTAGTCCTAATAGGACTAGGGGAGGGGGGAGGTGCGCAGCCCTTATGGGCAGCGCTTTCACGTTTCCACTAAGGCCCAATAAGGCCCATATGACTCCCGGGGGGTTCCGGTAACCTCCCGGTAATCCGGTAAAATCCTGATTTCACCCGGAACACTTTCGATGTCCAAACATAGGCTTCCAATATATCAATCTTTACGTCTCGACCATTTCGAGACTCCTCGTCATGTCCGTGATCACATCTGGGACTCCGAACAACCTTCGGTACATCAAAATGCATAAACTCATAATAATTGTCATCGTAACGTTAAGCGTGCGGACCCTACGGTTCGAGAACAATGTAGACATGACCGAGACACGTCTCCGGTCAATAACCAATAGCGGGACCTGGATGCCCATATTGGCTCCTACATATTCTACGAAGATCTTTATCGGTCAGACCGCATAACAACATACGTTGTTCCCTTTGTCATTGGTATGTTACTTGCCCGAGATTCGATCGTCGGTATCCAATACCTAGTTCAATCTCGTTACCGGCAAGTCTCTTTACTCGTTCCGTAATACATCATCTCACAACTACCATATTAGTTGTAATGCTTGCAAGGCTTATGTGATGTGCATTATCGAGAGGGCCCAGAGATACCTCTCCGACAATCGGAGTGACAAAACCTAATCTCGAAATACGCCAACCCAACATGTACCATTGGAGACACCTGTAGTACTCCTTTATAATCACCCAGTTACGTTGTGACGTTTGGTAGTACCCAAAGTGTTCCTCCGGTAAACGGGAGTTGCATAATCTCATAGTTATAGGAACATGTATAAGTCATGAAGAAAGCAATAGCAACATACTAAACGATCGGGTGCTAAGCTAATGGAATGGGTCATGTCAATCAGATCATTCAACTAATGATGTGACCTCGTTAATCAAATAACAACTCATTGTTCATGGTTAGGAAACATAACCATCTTTGATTAATGAGCTAGTCAAGTAGAGGCATACTAGTGACACTTTGTTTGTCTATTTATTCACACATGTATTATGTTTCCGGTTAATACAATTCTAGCATGAATAATAAACATTTATCA